ATGACAATGCCTTCTTTCACCTAAACTAGAGACCAGAAATGGGCAGCGCTCTAAATATCTCTGGATTACAATGTCCATCATCCCCCATTGTGGAACTCTCTCAGCTAGGGCTGATGGGTTCTGGCAAAGCAGCAAACCTCCGAGCCCTGGTTGACAGGAAACCTGAAATGGACACTTGCCCGGGTGTCTAGAGATCCCGAGATCTCTCCCTTGCCTTCCGAATCCATTCTGCCCCAATGTCAAGGCAACGTCAATTTATAAACCCACTTAGAGGATCTGGATAGACCAGGGCTGCCGGGCTGGGTAGGCGGCCAGTGGCCCGGGTGGGGCAAAGGAGCTCCCGCTGTTTCCACCTATCGAAGGGCTCCCAAGCAGCTCTCGCGCTCTCGATATCAATGCTTTAAAGACAGCCTCTGCAATGTACAGTACAGTGGTGCCTCGCTAGACGATAATAATCCTTTCCACTGAAATCGCTGTTTAGCGAAATCATCGTCTAGTCAAAAGCATTTCCCCATTAGAATGCATTGAAACCTGTTTAATGCGTTCCAATGGGGAAGAATCGTTGTTGTCTAGCGAAGATCGGCCATAGGAAAACCACGTTGCGAACTGCCGATCAGCTGTTTAAATCACTGTCTTGCGAAGCTTAGGTCCCGAAAACACCCGTTTTGCGAGGGCGGAGGGAGCTGTCAAAATCGTTGTCTAGCAAAAATCGGTTTGCGAAGCAGGGACCAAACATTGTCCATCGAAATTCCCCCATAGGAATCACTGTTTTGCGAATCGCTATAGCGATCACAAAAAGCCAGTGTCTGGAAATAAAACTTCTGAATGAGCAAGATGTGCAAGTAGCCTAAGTGTCTTGTAGGAAAACCAAGGTTCAAAAAGAAAAATGTGAACAAATAGTTCCTATCTTCACACCCATGAGGACTAGCAACTTGTTTTTAAGTGTCGGATGCTCCAAATCGTTTTAATCACGACAACAGAGGGATGGAATATATAACGGGGCATGCAGTTTAACAGCCAATCCAGCTCTGATTTCAACACAGACAACCTGTTTTCTGAGAGTAGGAGTCTCCCATGCTGAAATAAAACTAAGACAGTCACAAGCAATCTTTCAGAATGTTATCCCCTTTCCTGTGAGGGATATGAACACTTCTTCTTCCTCACCAATATGAAACCATTCATATCAGAGTCACCTCCTGGCCACCAAGGTGCAAGAGGCGTAAGGGAAACGTGCAAAGCATCACATAAGTGAGAAATATATTGGCAAAGCATTATATAAGTAGGAAAGCATTCCACAAGGGAAAATGTGTTATCATCATCATCTCCGAATGGCAGAGCTGGAAGGGACCTTATGGATCATCACGTCCAGCCTCTGCTAAGGAGACCTGGTGGGGAATTGAATTCCTAACTTCAGGCTCTGCAGCCATAGACCTAAACCACCGAGCTATCCAGCTACAGAAGACATCAAAGAGACCTCAAACTGAAATACAACAGAATTAAAGAGAAAAGTATGGGAATTTACTTCCCTTTCCCCAGCCTTATTCCTTTTTTATTTTGTTTCTCCTGGAGGGAGCAGAATGCACAACTGTACCTGATATACAGATTTTTTTTTAATGCTTACTGTTGTCTGTGATTTATAGGCATTAATTCTCCCATATTAGGTGCCAGTAATCCAAGATTTATCACTGGGCAGACATTAAACAGCAAGGTCCGATATTCCCGTGCACCTAGAAAATCACTACCTCTCTTTCGCCCTCTCTTTTTATTTATTGTTTGCTTATTTGGAATATTTTTCCTCCCCCTCCCCCTTCTCCTTAAAAAGGACCCAAGGCAGCTGACATTATTAAAAGGCAATTATTTCAAAGCTAAAAAAATAGGAAGGATGCAATTATTAAAAAAAACCTTCCTCTCCCAGAGTTCTCTTAGGAAGCATGGGGGGGGGCGCAGCCCTCTCATTGAATCTAGACGGACGGGGTAAAAGCCAAAATAAATAAATAAATAAATCTCTTGCAAGAGGGCCTGCATTGACTGCTTCCAGACAGTTTTTAAAATACAGTGGTGCCTCGCTTGACGATGTTAATTCAAACGAAATAAAAAAGCCCATTGAAACGCATTAAAACCCGGTTAATGCGTTCCAAAGGGCTGGAAACTCACTGTCCAGCAAAGATCCTCCATGGGGCGGCCATTTTCCATGCCTGTGCAGCAAGAAATCCATCCCTAAGCACAGCGGGGGGGGGGGGGCCTTTTCTTCCTTTCCATGCCTGTGCAGCCAGAAATCCGTCCCTAAGCACAGCGGGGTGGGTGGGTTGTAAAGCGAAAATCGGTTCCCGAAGCAGGGAACTGATCATCGCTAAGCAAAATCCTCCCATTTAGACCATCGTTTTGCAATTGCGATCGCAAAAACCTCATCGTAAAGCAACTTCCTCATTAAGCGAGGCAATCGTTAAGCAGGGCACGACTGTATGGATGAGCTTTCTAGTCTCTGGTTTAGGTCTCATTCACATATTTAGGTGTACCCTGAAAAAAAATCTGGAAAGGAGCCGGTCCAATCCTTTAACCACCCTATCAAACAGTTATAAGATCACACACATCAGACGAGAAAGGCTGCAATCCGGCCAAAGCATTTTAATTCCCTTCGGCATGGAATTCTTCTCTCAATGTGTAGCCGCCTCTCATTCTGCTTCAGATGTGAAACGTCTGCCTTGGACTTCCAACCGCACTCCCTGTTCCTCGTTCCTGGCTAAAGGTAAGTGTAGGAGTGTATATAGATGTGTGTGTCGGTGTGTGCATATATACAAGCCTTTATTTCTTTCCCTCTTGCAGCTGTTTCTGCCCCTGCAGCCACTTTAGGAGCAGAGACCTGGAGCAGCCACATCATCTGCCAGAGGTGGGAACCCAACGCCCCTTTCAAATGTTGCTGGATTCTCATTTTGATCCTCCTTGGCTACTAGCTATGGGAATCGGGGTCCTACAACATGCAGGCAGGCTATTAAGTCAAAGGTACAACAAACGCTGCACACAGAGGGTCCCGGGTTCAATTCTCAGACAATCTCAGGGAGAGTTAAGAAAGACTCCCAATCTGAAGCACTGAAGAATCATTGCCAGAGAAGAGTTGCTAATATTGGGCTGTGTGGACCAGCGATCTGACCAACTATATTCCTATACAGTAGGACCTCCTTATCCACCAGATCGGTACCCGCTTCTCAAACTGACAGTCAGGCCTTCTTCGAAGGCAGCTCAAGGCCACCCTGATCTGAGGATTTAGGGTGGGAAGGGCAGCATTCACCCTTGAGTTCCCAAACCAAGGCACAGGGAGATAAAAAGAAAAACCAAACAACTCCCAAGCTGACGAGGAAAGGAAAGGCAGAGCCATTGTCTCTACACAGCAGGGGGAAAGGAGGGGGGGTTTTCAGAAACGGTAGCAGTAGCTGCAGATGTACCTAGAGAAAAGGTTCTTGATCCTATCCCAAATGCTAACGACCGTGCTACTAACTTTATCCGAGAAACTGGGGGGGCCGGCAAGGAGGGGGAGGCACAAACCAACAAAAACAGAAAACACAACGAGTCAGTATATGGAATCCCAGAGATGTCACACACACACGCGCCCGCCACCCCACCCCTCACCCCATCACCCGGACTCCGGCCTTGCTCCAGCCCGGTGTATTCCATGGCCAGCCGAGCTGGGCAGAAGGACGGGAGGAAAGGAAAGAAGAGGTCAACTAACAGCATTCTGCGGGGGGGGGGGAGGCTGCTGCTTTCCCTAAAAGCAGGTTCTCGTGATGTGATGTTGACCAGATTGGGCATACTACACCTCCCATCCTCCCCAATACCACTGCTGTTGGGGGGGTTTGCAGGGCTTACAGTCAAGCCATCCGCGAGATTCTGCCCTCAAGGACATCCTCTCCTCTTGTCTAACGCCCACATCCTTTTGAACTAACAAAAACTTACCTGGTGCCCCAAAGCAAAGAAATAGCCTCAATGGTTGAATCTGGATGAACTTAAGGGGACCCCCTTTTGCTGGGAGGCTGGGACTGGGAGCTATCATAAAGCCCCACCCCCTCTATAATTTATCCAATGAGAGAACTGGCTCCGCCTTCTTCTTAGGAAGTGGACCAATAAGCAGCCTTTCTTGGCAGCACCGCAGTGCCCTCTGCTGGGACACAAGAGGACTGCAGCTAACTTGGAAGGGCCACCTTCTGCTCCCGGAATCAGCATTTTTGATTCATAATAAATGCTGCCCTCCCGCAAAGGGCAGACCAGGGCAAGGCAGACCCACGCAATGAGCAAAGGAAATGAAGTGACCCGAAAAAAAGCACCTCTCCTCTCTCTCTCTGCTTTGGTATTTTTCTCATTGGCTGAAGGTCAACTGGAAACAAACCAACCTGGTACCTCCCAGCCTTTTCCCCCCCTCCCCGAAGGAATCGCCTTCCTCCTTCCATTTTTGTTTGAGGACGTTTTTGTGGGCCAGGGCAAGGCACCCCGGCTCTCCCCTGCCAGACAGCTCTGGTACTCACGAGTCCTTCCTCTGCCGCAGATGCTCAAAGACCAGCAGGCCCCGGGAGTTGACGCTCAGCACCAGCTCCCGCCCCTCCAGCAAGTCCATGCGGAACGGCTTGGCCGTCAGGATGAGCTTGTGGCCCCCGTCGCTCAGGGAGAGCTCCACGCTGTTGTCGTCCCGACCTGTCACAGACAATCTTAGGGATGGGAAGGAAGAAAAGCAGTGTCTGGGACGAGTAAACCAAGCGGGTCGGATGTGGGGCAGGGGGAGAGAGGAGAGTCTTCTTGCCAGAAACGGGGGGAAATCTTACTTTTTGGGTCTACAACTCCACCAAATAGCAGTGCACAAGCTACACCGGTTACAGAGGGTTGCAAATTCAAAGAATCCTAGAATAATTGCATTGGAAGGGGACCTATAAGGCCATCAAATTCAACCCTATGATTAAGGCAGGAATCCAAGTCAAAGCAGATCTGACAGAGGGTTGTCTGAATTTCTCTTGAATGCCTCCAGCGCTGGAGCACTCACCATGGATTCCATTGTCGCACTGCTTTAACAGTTAAGACGTTTCTCCTGATATTCGGCTTATATCTGGCTTCCTGCAGCTTGAGCCCATGGCTGCACGTCCTGCACTCTGGGAGGACTGAGTGCAGAATCCTGCCCCCTCCTCTGTAGGACTCCCTTATATGTCCTGCACTCTGGGATGACGGAGAACAGATCCTGCCCCCTCCTCTGTAGGACTCCCTTTCAAATATTTGAAAAGTGCCCTCCGATCTCCCCTCAGCCTTTTTCTCTCCAGGCTAAACAGGACCAGTTCTTTCCATCTTTCCTCCCAGGGCTTGGCTTCCAGTCCCCCTGATCATCCTTCTTGCCCTCCTCTGAACTGGCTCCAGTTTGTTGGCATCTTTCTTGAAGGGCAGTGTCTAAAACTGGGCTTAAGGTTTCTCGAAGGGCAGTGTCTAAAACTGGGCTTAAGGAGGGACACTTCCGAAGCGCCACACACTTCTACATTCCCATCCAGGGATTCTGTAGACCCACAAGAGAACGTTTAGGGGCTCGGCACCACCTATTGCTCCTCTTCCAAGTCATCCTAAGAGCATGAACTCTTTCTCTGCTGGGAGTTTTTAATTTTTATTTTGTTCACATGCTGCCTTTAGTACGTTTGGTGTAGAGGGACATTTCTGGGCTGGGGTGACTGTCAATCAATCCAGCACTCACTAATGCCTCTGAATTCAAAGAGAGCCCCGCCTCCCTGCTCTGTGTTCCTTTCCTCCTTCCTAGACCCGGTTGAGGTCTGTTATTGAAGGCAGTGAGTTTGCGGTCTGATCGGTTCACAACTGGAAGTGAAGAAAATTTGTTTTTGTTTTTACTACGACTAACATCTCAGGGTTAGGGACGTGGTGGCGCTGCGGGCTAAACCGCAGAAGCCTGTGCTGCAGGGTCAGAAGACCAAGCAGTCGTAAGATCGAATCCACGCAACGGAGTGAGCGCCCGTCGCTTGTCCCAGCTCCCGACAACCTAGCGGTCTGAAAGCATGCAAATGCAAGTAGATAAATTACGACTAACATCTCAGGAGGAGTTATTGAGACTGTAAACACCACTTGATAGGGAAAAAAAGGGGGTGGTCTACTTGGGGGGGGACTTGAAGCTATTCTGCTGTGTGAATTCCCTGCACTTCTGTTGTGCAGCTAGAGGAATTTAACCCCAAAAATTCAAAACTCTGTAAACATTCTTCGCTGCTAAACACTCAAAACCTGAAAACAAGCCCGACTGATCTCTTAAGGTGTGCCCTAGCACGCTGGCTCTATGGCTTGGAAACGGGGATGAGCACCGCCCCCTAGAGTCGAACACGACTGGACAAAAATTGTCAAGGGGAACCTTTACCTTTACCATCTCAGGAGGCGTTATTGAGACTGTAAGCACCACTTGATGGGGGGGAAAGGGGGTGGTCTACTGGGGGGGGGACTTGAAGCTATTCTGCTGTGTGAATTCCCTGCACTTCTGTTGTGCAGCTAGAGGAATTTAACCCCAAAAATTCAAAACTCTGTAAACATTCTTCGCTGCTAAACACTCAAAACCTGAAAACAAGCCCGACTGATCTCTTAAGGTGTGCCCTAGCAAAGAGAGGCTAAAGTGAGCAACTTAATGCCCCCCCCTTCCTTATTTAATCGACGTAACCCACCCGAACAAATGGCTGCTCGCCATAGCAGGGTGGACCACCTTCCATCCTCGTACCTGGTAACAGGTGGGTCCTGGATTAACACATCAGGTACCTCGTAGCGGGGTTTGAGCGGATTCAGCTCATTGATCTGGATGCGGGTCATGTTGCCTTTCAAGCCGTAGACCTCCAGGAGGAGGGGGACCTGGAAAGAGAGGAGAGGCTCAAGTCTTATGATCTGGGATTAACAAATAGGTGGCCATCCGGGGGTACTGGACTGCAACTCCCATCATCCTTGGCTGTGCTGGCTGGGAAGGACGGCAGCTGGGCTCTAGAACCCCCTGCCACATGGGGTGGAGAAGACAGGGCTGGCTAGCTTCTTTTCTTTTGTCCTTCTCTCTGTAAATACAGTGGTGCCTCACTTAACGATTGCCCTGCATTACGACGAATCTGCTTTACAACGACCTTTTTGCGATCACAAAATGATGGTCTAAATGGGAGAATTTCGCTTTGCGATGATCAGTTCCCTGCTTCTCTTTTGTCCTTCTCTCCGCAAATAAAAGTCTTTTTACGTGACGTTTCTGTGGGTTTGCTGCTAAAGGGGCCGAGTCTCATTTCTTGCTTCTATTATCAATGTCCTTCATTAATTCCTTTTCTAATGTGTTTACCTTCTGACCGTCTTTGTTTCTAAGGGCGTGCCCTGACTGCTGTTCACCTTCCGGGAACTCAAAACAAGACAACCAACCACAAAATCCTCTCTGGATCTGAATTCACACTGTGTTTAGGAATGGATTCCTCACTACACAGGCAGCGAAAATGGCCGCTGTATGGAGGATCTTCGCTGGACGGTGAGTTTTTACCCCACTGGAACGCACTGAATGGGTTTCAATGCGTTTCAATTGGGTTTTTATTTTCGCTTTACGATGTTTTTGCTTAACGGCGATTTTCCTGGAACGGATTATCGTCGTTAAGCGAGGCACCACTGTAAAAGTCTTTCTACGTGATGGACCCTGGATGTTTCTGTGGGTTTGCTGCTGAATGGGGCCGAATCCCGTTTCCCGCTTCTGTTATCAATGTCCTTCATTAATTCCTTTTCTAATGTGTTTACCTTCTGACCGTCTTTGTTTCTAAGGGCGTGCCCTGACTGCTCTTCACCTTCTGGGAACTCAAAACAAGACAACCAACCACAAAATCCTCTCTGGATCTGATGCCGGCGTAACCCAAATGGCATCACTGGAAAAACGATCTGTTGTGTCCCCCCAGTCGGGCTGCTCAGGAGGCAACAAATAAGGCCTTTGTCCATGTACTAAGGCAATTCGTCTTTGAAAGATGCACCACTGGCATGAAGCTGATCATGTGACTAACAGGGTTTGGGCCACTAATCAAATCCATAACAGAGGATTCACCTTGTTGGCTTCATTGATGATCTGGATTTTCATAGAATCCTGGTCGAGCTGCAAGGAATCTAACAGCGCCCTGTAAGGGGAACTCCCGGGTTTCATGTTCCTCTGGCGCCTGGAGGGAGGAGAAACCACCGTTACCAGAACTTACTGCAGTTACTATCATTCCCTGCACCTTTTTTTCATGTTTTAAGACACCGCAGGATATTCCCCTCTACCCTCCGTAGCCCTAAGAAGAAATGACCAGGGAGGGTAAATAAAAATCAACGATTTTTTAAAAGATCAATTTAAATCACAATTTAAAATCTGTAAAAAATCCATTTTTTTTTTACATTTAAATGGTGGGGAGGGATCCATTATTTAAATATTGTTTAAATCATATCCACCATGGTACCAGGTGTAAATGTAATTTTTAAATTACATTTTAAAAAAACACACACACACACAATCCGGAAGAAGGAAAACCTGGCAGGTGAAATGAGTATCATCTCCTCCTCCTCCTCGGTTCCCTTCTTCGACTTACTTGCAAAAGGCACTCTGATCGCATGTCTTGAAGTTGCTGCGGTCCACAGCGGAGACGGCGGCTAGGCAAAGAGCCAGCCAAGCAAGGGCTGTCGTGGTGAGCCTAATGGGAAAGAAATCATTGCTTCAGGCGAGGCAAGGATTGTTTCTGGACCCTGTGGCCACATGACAAAGAGGATTAGGCAAATTCGCAGAAGAGGATACTGAACTGTGCGATCCCCTTGGAAGAAAAATATATCTCTGCCTTGCAGATGGGATAATCAACGGGGAAGGCCACTTCTAATCCTTCCGCAAAGGTATCTGGCTAGTTATGGCAAAAGGCTCCGCTCCGGAGGATCATTTTATCTCCTTAAAGCAAGGCAGTGTCTTCAAGCTTATTCCACAAGACGAACGGTCTGAAATTGCTACCTTGAAATGAAGGCAGGAAAAGGCCCTAAAGAAAACTTGCCATCCCTGAAACCTTTCGTTCCAGGCCTTTAGCAGGAAACCAAGGTACAGTGGTGCCTCGCTAGACGATGATAATCTGTTCCACATTGTCTAACGAAAAGCATTGTCTAGCAAAAACCATTTCCCCACTGGAATGCATTGAAACCTGTTTTAATGCGTTCCAATGGGGAAGAATCGTCGTTGTCTAGCGAAGATCGGCCATAGGAAAGCCGCTTTGCAAACTGCCGACCAGCTGTTTAAATTGCTATCTTGCGAAGCTTAGGTCCCGAAAACACCCGTTTTGCGAGTGTGGAGGGAGCTGTCAAAATCATTGTCTAGCGAAAATTGGTTTGCGAAGCAGGGACCAAACATTGTCCAGCCAAATTTCCCTATAGGAATCACTGTTTTGCGAATCACTATAGCAATCACAAAAAGTCAATGTCTAGCGCAAAAACTGTAATGCAGGGGAAATGTCTAGCGAGGCACCATTGTATAGCAGTTAGTCTTTAAGGTGCCCCAACGTTTTTGTTTTCTTAATTTTGTTTTTCATTCATTTTGACCAGATAGATCAATTCAGACATTTCCAATGATCAACCCAGCCAGCTGGTAGAGGAGGACAGGGCGGAGGAAAGAGTAGTAACCCTGACAGAAAAGAAACTCTCGAGGTCTTTCCAAGCTCTGCTTGGCTTACAATAAACAAACCAAAAGTCTGAATTCATTGATTCTACCACTGGCAATCACCAGGCGCTGAAGGACTGGCAATCAAAGCCGCCTACATGTTGACTTAGAAATAACCAAACCTGCGCTCAGTTTGGGGTGTTCTATGGCACAAGCTTTTCAAAAGGGCAGCGCCTCGAAACAGGATCAGGGGGACTGACTTAGGGTCCAATCCTGATTCACGAGGCTGACATAAGGATAAAAATTAGGAGAACCACATGGGCCAAGGTGGGCTTCTCAGAGCGGCTGGAGGTTCTTTTTAAGGAGGAAGGGAGGTAGGATAAAACCAAATAAGTCAATTTAAAGAACAAACAAACGTCAGTAACCAAATAAAAGAATGTGGGGTTGTACTGTAAGTGGTGGGATCCAAATTCACCAGTCTCCACAACCTCTGCCCCCTTTCTGTTTCTCTCCACGACACCCCTCCTTGCCAGCATTTTCCCCCCTTATAAAGCACCTTTATACAATCTAAAGACCAATGTTTTAAAATGATCACAATTTTTGAAGGCTGGTGGTTTGAAGGGGCTCTCGAAACATGGCAAAGTTGCCACTATGCCTCCCCTTAGGAAACACAAGGCGACTTTCTAAAGTCCAAGATTGTTCTTTCAAAGTTATTTTACAAAAACGTTTTAAACCTTTTTGGCGAAGGAGGTTCTACAGGTGTAAAAGTTTCTGGGTCCCAGCGGCTGCAGTATGGAGTCCATGGGCACGCATTACCCCTCCCTGTCTTGTCCAATGTCCTTCAGTACTATCTGATATTGTGATTTTATCTAAATAATAGATCTTCCTGCCCATTTACCGCAAATATATATATAATGGGTAGGAATATATATATATACAAGTTTTCCCTGCATGTTTTGAATTAAGAGAGGGTTCCTTCCACTGCATCTTTCCTCTTCACGAGTTATAGGAGAGAAGGATTTTCTCCAGAGAGCTTGTGGTTTTCCAGATCTTATGATCGTCGTTAATCTATCTGGCCCCGAGTTAGATAGGCAAGATGTAGATGACCTGCATTTGTCATCAGCCTTAGCATGATGGTAGTAGTATTTCATCAACATCTGGGGGGCTGTGCCTTACAGACGTTCTCCTTGATTTCAAACTCTTTCCTAGCTGTATTTAAAGATAGTGGAGGCTGAACCCTGAACCCTACTCATGCAAAAGCCTGTACTCTGCCACTGAAGTACAGTCCCCCCCCCTTAAAAATAAACTAAGATCCCAGTCCTCATGGTCTGAGTCAAGACCTGGTTTATAAAGGGTTGTAATTAGCTATGGAGGAATCATAGAACAAAGAAGCTGCTAATAAACATTGCAATAAAAGGATTGTAGTACAAAGCTACCAAGCAGTCAGAGTTTTATTTCACTGATGCGCTTAACTCAGCATTGGCTACACAGCATTGCTATGGATCCATTGCTTAACCCGACACCCTTCTGCACACATAGCAAAACATCCTGCTGGCAGATTATGGCCCCGCTCTAGTTACAGGCAAGGGTTTCCAAGTAATTTAAAGACAAAACAGACACCAAAGCCCTGTCTGTACCAGGCCTTTAAGAGCTTCTAACAGGAAGCAGCTTGGAGGGTTTGTGTAGAGCGGGAGACTCTGATTTGTTTGTTTTTTTAACCAATAACATCCACAGTCTAGTTCCAACTTTAGATCTTTCCACATTTTCTCCAGGGGAAGGGACTTGAACGATCAAAGAACATCAAGATCAGGCTTAGCCACATGTTTCTAGGAGTTCAGCGACAACGCGTGGCTTTTCTCAGCCTGGAGCAGGAATGAGAAGTATGAGCACACAGCAGATGCAAAGGGCGGACTTATCCTAAGTCCCCTGGTGCAAAGGTCAGCTGTAGCCTCTCCGTGTGTGCTTGTGTGTGTGTGCTATGACCGAGTCATCTCTAAGAAGCAAAGCAGAAGCACAACGAGTCATCTCTAAGAAGCAAAGCAGAAGCCACAGGGGCGGGAGCAGAGTGCCCAGGACCTCCCAGCCTGCAGAACACCAGGTTTTGAAATCATTAGAAAAAGGCTTTATAAGTGGTCAATGCCAAATGTGAAAATCTTCCTCTCTTTTTTTTGTCTCCCTTCTCAAAATACACTCCTCAAGGTGGGAGCCTTTCCCTCCTTTGTTCCCTCTCAAATTATTCTGTACGGCAACATACAAACACGGACACGTGTTCTGTGACACCAGAGTGAGGGAGAATCTCTGGCCACCAGATGCTGCTGGATTTTTTTGCCTCCCTTCTCAAAATACACTCCTTGAGGTGGGAGCCTTTCCCTCCCTTGTTCCCTCTCAAATTGTTCTGTACGGCAACATACAAACACAGACACATGTTCTGTGACACCAGAGTGAGCGAGAATCTCTGGCCACCAGATGCTGCTGGACTACAATCCCCATGCTTCATGAGCTCTGGCCATGGGGTAATGGGGCTGATGGGGTAAGTAGTTCCAGAACATCTGATGAGGTCACAGGCTTCCCACCCTTGAAACAAATGCAGCATAAAACAACAAAATTAATTAATTACATAGGGAAAGCAATCACAACCATACCAACGTTAAGTACTAAAAATTATAAATTGGGAAAGATAGTATTAGGGCTTTTTATCTGATGATCTGAAAGGTCAACAGGTATCTCCATCTGTCTACAGTACATATATTCAGAGTGTAAAATCTACAGCAACTAGCACGCACAGGAGTCTACAAACTGCAGTCTTTTCTTCCATGCAAAGCAAGTTTCTAGCTCTCATGAAGGCAGAGAAAGACATTCATGTGAACCTCCCTGAGCACCAAACAATTTTAAAAAATTCTAAAAACATCAGCACTGAACTTCTTAATGAATAACCATTGTGCAAAAAATACGGGAAATTTGCCACTTGTGTTCTAAATCATCGCTCGGCTGCAGATCTACTTCATAGATCTGTTTGGGGGCAAATCCCTTGAACCCCCGCCCGAAAAATGAAAATGTTGAACACAATCTAATTGTGAAGGTGGACAGCATGAGAACCAAGTGTAAAAACAAAGCTCATGGAAGTTGGGGAGGGAAGGAAGAAGAGGAATATCTTGTAAGGAGGAGAGAAATGAATATTTGAAAGTACAGTAATGAGGAAAAGGAAGCAATAAGGAGAAGAAAGTAGCAAATGGACCAATCTGAGAATTCACCGGGATCTAAGGAAGAGATTGTGTCAGTTATACAGCACACTCTGGGGTATGCAATTAATGGAAGAGTGCAGGGAAATGGAGGAAAACGAAACCTCCATGTTGAACAGCAGTTTCTCTCTTCCTCCAACAACAGGTTCAAACACCAGGAGAATGAGGGAGGGAAGGTCTACCGCCCTCCTGCCTTCAGGAGTTTCTTTGGGAGCCTCTGACTGCCAACCACTGCAAACAGGTTGTCGGTCTAGACCAGCGGTTCTCCAACTGGGATCCTGAGATGTTCTTGGACGGCAAATCCAAGAAATCTGGCCAGGAGAGCAAGTGGTGAAAAGGCTTCTGGGAATTGCCGTCCAAGAACATCTGAGGACCCAAGGTTGGGAACCACCGGTCTAGCTCAATCTTCGGTCAGGCACCCATGAAGGGACGAGGACAAACTCAGAAAGGAGAGGCTGGGCCACAGGAACAACTATCAGCCCTGATGTGCCAATGTAGAACCTCCAGTATTCAAGAGCAGTCTATCTTTGAGCTGCAAGGAACTAAAAAGAGCGAGGAAAGCGGAGAGCTCGGCTGTGCCCATGGTGGGCAACAGGAAGATGGGGAAGGAGACAACCTCCGAGTGTGATTGCCCCACACATACATAACACACACGAGGCACTCTGTTTATGCTCTTGCGAGGTCTGGGAAGGGGCTAAAAAAGAGGAATCTACAATCCTGGGGGTGG